TTTCAATTAATTTTGTTTGTTTATCTATACTTACCTTATGCTTGCCATTTTAGAAAGAGCGAAGGAAAGATAAGCAAAAGCAGAAAAATCGCAAAGAAAATGATGTCCCAGGTTCTATGTTGGCTGGTCAAGAACCAGCTCGCAAACGGTCTAAACTGGTTCTTCCTGAGCCTCAAATCTCCGATGCTGAGCTTCAGCAGGTTGTCAAGTTGGGACGTGCAAGTGAAGTGGCACGGGATGTAGCAACCGAGTCTGGCACAGGCCTTGCCTCAGATGCTCTTTTGGCTGACTATTCTATCTCAACAGCTGGAGCAATACGCACACCGAGAACACCTGCTCCAGCCACAGATCGTATCCTTCAGGTACTGCCTCATTTTTTTCCTGCATTGTTGTTATCTGTAATGGCATGGATCACTCTTAAATTTTATCTGAATTCTGATTCTAGGAAGCACAGAACATGATGGCTTTAACACATGTAGACACCCCCTTGAAAGGAGGAACAAACACTGAAATAATGAATTCAGATTTTAGTGGGGTAACTCCATCAAGGGAAGTGTCAGCAACACCTAACACAGTGTTGACCACGCCTTTCCGGTCAGCTCATGGCCAAGATGGTAGTGCTACTCCTGGCTTTGGAACTCCTGGGTCACAGCAAGGCGGTCCTGGAATGGCAACTCCCACACCCTTGAGAGACAAACTGAACATTAATCCTGAAGATGGTTTCAGTGTTGGAGATACACCTCAAGCCCTCAAACAATACCAGCGAGAAGTATGGTTTCTATTTTTAAATATCTTTTCTCTTTTAATGATTTTCTTATGTAAGGGGAGGATTAACACTGCTTCAATTTTCTGATTGTTTCAGATGAAAGCTCAGTTAAGCGCTCAGTTGAGTTCCCTGCCAGCTCCTCGCAACGACTATGAGATTGTGGTACCAGACCAGGGTGATGATGACATGGATGGTTCAGGAGGTCCGTCAGGCCCTCAGGTTGAGGACCAGGCTGATGTGGACTCACGTCGGGAGGCTGAGTTACGAGAGAAGGCTGCCAGAGAGCTACGTCTGAGGTCTCAGGTGGTGCAGCGTGATCTGCCTAGACCTATCAATATCAATAGCGGGGTTCTACGAACCACTGCCTCTGATGGACAACAAAATGAACTTCAAAAGGTAGCTGCTGGTTATAGCTATAGTTCTTGTCTCGGTTCCTATTTGCTGATTAAGGAATTGATGGTAACCTATGTACCTTGGTTTCAGGCGGAGGAGCTTATCAAGAAGGAAATGGTTACCATGCTTCATTATGATGCTGCATACCCTATCCCTGGTCAAAGTCATAATGAAAATCCAGCTAGCCATTTAACATACCTTGATCAACATTCTTATGATACTTTCTCTCAAGATGCTTTAGATGAGGCAAGTAAAATTATATTTTTGTACTTCAAGGACAACATCTCAACATCATCAGAGCCTGCTAATATGTATTTCTTGACTTTATCAACTCCTTGTTGCAGGCTAAATCATTACTTCACGAAGAAATGGAAACTGTTAAAAATGGCATGGGCCATGGTGAAGTGTCAGTTGAGGCATATTCACAAGTGTGGCAAGAGTGTTTGTCGCAGGTTCTGTACATGCCCAATCAAGGAAGGTATACTCGTGCAAGTTTGGCCACAAAGAAAGAGCGTTTAGAATCACTTGAGAAACGTTTAGAACAGAATCGTGGTCACATGACCAAGGAGGCAAAGCGTGCTGCCAAAATGGAGAAAAAGCTAAAAGTGCTGACTGGAGGATATCAGGTATGAAGGCTGTTTGTTTTCTGATCCAATGACTTAGTATTAATCATTATTGTTCAATTTGCTAAATATAGTTGTTTGGTTATTTTACAGTCAAGGGCTCAAGTGCTGGTTAAACAACTTCAAGAACTTTATGAACAGCTTGAACAGGCAGACATGGAACTCTCTACTTTTAAATTCCTCCAACAACAGGAGATTGCGGCCATTCCAAGAAGACTGGAGGTTTGTGGAACTTTTTATCTGACTGAAATATTTCTTTAAAGGGTTTGCTCATTACTGTATTGTTTATTCTGCCTTTTTGTCAACAGTCCATCACTGAGGATGTCAACCGTCAGAAAGAGAGAGAATATGCACTCCAAGAGCGTTATGGAGAATTAGTAAAAGCACTGGAGGACTTGAGAGATGAACTAGACTTTTGAAATCACTTAGTAGGTTTATTAATTCCAGCTTGTCATTTTATCTCTGAGAAAAATACACACACATTCTTTTGACAATTCATTTTATGTAGATACATGTACAGTATTGATGAAATAGATTTCCTCAAACAAAATCATGTTTACAATTTTTCTTTTTTTTTACACTGGAACAAATTGATTCCCGAAGCACGGTTTTCTTGTGAGCAGAACACAAGCCGAACGCATCAGCGTTGGAGCTCTTAGGTTTGTTCAAGAAGCCTGCTCAAGCTGGGCTGGTCGGCTAGGCACCTACTTAATGTTGGAAATTTCAAAAAATTGCAGAAAATTTCTGAAAAATTCCCGAAAATTTCCTGAGAAAACTTCCAAAGTCTGGGAAATTTTGCATTTTTCCACGGGGATTCTCCGTTTTTTTCCTGAAATTTTCTGGAAACTTTCCAGGGCTTCCAACCCTACACCTACTCTTTGCACCGCGCTCGCTCCATTCTCCACTTCCTTGAAGGAAAATATCCGAAAAATTTCGGAAAACTTCCAAAGTCTGGGAAATTTCCCCCTTTCCCCGGAAATTTTCCGTTTTTCCCTGAAATTTGCCGGGGCTTCCAATCCTACGGGAGGAGAGGGGGGAGGGGGGGGGCAAAGCTATGTCGCCAAGCCATGAGCGATTCCCACCACGGGGTGTATAGGGGCATATATAGCAGCTAGCGATCCGGTTCGGTATTCGGATGTGGGTCG